AGATTTTTTTTTTTAAAAAAAAGAAGAAGATGCAGCCAGGCTTGGTGGCTTACGCCTGTAATCCTAGCACTCTGGGAGGCCGAAGTGGGCGGATCACTTGAGGTCAGGAGTTTAAGAACAGCCTAAGCAAGAGTGAGACCCCATCTCTACTAAAAATAGAAAAAATTAGCCTGGCATGGTAGCACATGTCTGTAGTCCCAGCTACTCGGGAGGCTGAGGCAGGAGGATCACTTGAACCCAGGAGTCTGAGGTTGCCGTGAGCTAGGCTGACACCATGACACTCTAGCCCAGGAAACAGAGTGAGACTCTGTCTCAAAAAAGAAAAAAGAAAAAAAAGAAAAAAAGAAGAATATGCAACAGAGGCTGTATATAGCCTGTGAAATTTAAAATATTTACTATCTGGCCCTTTATAGAAAAGGTTTAACAACCCGTGACTTTTAGATCTGTTTTTATTATCCTTTTTTTCTCTTGGTCCTATTTCTTAACATGCCTGGAAATAATTTTTTAGTGTTAGTGTTCATTTATGACAATTTATTAAGTAGAGATTTTTTAAATGAGGCATAACATGCATAAAGTATACAGTTTAGTGAGCTTTTAATGATGCATATACTCACCTAACCATGATACAAATAAAGATATAAAACACTTAAAGCACCCAAAAGACTCCTTTAAACTCCCTCAGAATATATATTCCTTGCCACAGACAGCCTCTCTTCTGACTTTTATTATCATAGATTCCTTTTTCTTGTTCTCAAACTTGATGTGAATGGGATTATACTGTATTTCCTATTTTGTGTTCAACTTCTTGCAATGTTGTGTCTGTAGCGTTCGTCCATATTCTTGCATGTAGCTGTAGTTTATCCTTTTTATTGCTGTGTAATATTCCATTGTGTGAATATTTTACAGTTTATTTCTCCTATAGTTGATACCTATCTAGGTTTTATCTCTCATATTTAGGCCTATCTGGAATTGTTATATGTCAAATTTCATGTTTTTCCACATGGGTATCCCACTGACCCAGGGTCATTTACGCATAAGATTGTACTCTCCCCACTGGGTGTGGTGTGCCTTTGTTGTCAATTGTGGCCGTTCATGTGCGAGTCTGTTCCTGTGATCTCTGTTCTGCCCCATTAGTCTGTTTATCCACTGTGTCATTGCTATGCTGTCTAGATGACTGAGACTTTTTTCTTGAAGTATTCTTACACAGAGCCTAACAGAATAAAGGGATTGAAGTCCCATTTCTTCAGGGATTATAGGTGGTTAGAATTCTCACACCAGATAAATCAAGTGTGCTGAAGAAAGAATTCCTATTTTAGGTAAAAGGTTTATTGGAAATTTGCTACACCCCCTCTACATTGTTCTGTACAGTTCAGAGAGTGTTGCTGCTTTGGTGCTATAAATATTCCTCACAGCTCTCATGTTTTCTTTTTTTCTAGCTAGCCTCCCCCTAACTTCCCACTCCAACCAAAAAAAGATACACTGTATAAAGGTTCTGATGATGAAAAAATTCTTTAAAGTGAATTATTAATCTTGAGCTTTCAGCAGATAAAAAATAATATTTAGTTAGTTTTGAATTGGTTCTGGTTGTCGGTTTTTCCTTTATGTGTCAGAGTGTAATGCTTCTTTGACTGTTTATCCTTTAGTATTTTTCTCTCATGCTCTTTTTTTTTTTACCAGTAGTACCTATTAAACTTTTCTTAATTATATTTTAAAGAATATTTTAATTAAAGCAAAACTTAAGGATATTCTTTCATAGAATAGAGTTTTTTTTTAATGTGGCATGTGACTTGTCAATCAATATAGGTTAAAGATGAATGGGAGAAGAAATTTTTATTATAATTAGTTTGTAAATGGCTTATCTGTGCAAAATTATTTTTGAAGGTTTAAACATATCTATAAAAATATTTTTCTTTTGTGGAGAAAAAGAAAAGGAGATTGAAGTTTGTGGGGATTGGGGTGGGGCAGGAAGGAAGGAGGGCTAGGAAAGCAAGACCCTTGCTCTAAGTTCACAGAGCCCTTAGTTCCTTTTTTTTTTTTTTTTTTTATTTCAGCAAATTATGGGTGTCCATATGTTTAGGTTACGTGTGTTGCCCTTGGTTCCCCCCCCCACCGAAGTCCGTGTTTCAAATCATGAGTCAAAACCTACCTATAGGGATACATCTTAGAGTTAGTCATGTGGGAGCCAGTACCCTGCATCTTTTTCCTTCTGAATATACAACTGTGTGGAAGGACAGTTATCTCTGGTAATCCTAGAGTCATTGTAACACATTTTATTTGCTAAGATAAACATTGTGCCCCAACATTCAGTTGAGGGGAAAATCAAGGAAGATCTTCATAAGACAGAAATGGCATAGGCTTTCTGGGATGGTTGTACGAGATAACAGGTATTTATTATTCATAAATAAGAGATTTATAATTATAATTAATGAAATATGCTTGTTCACAAGAGTAACATTTATTAAATGCTTCCTTGGTACCAGGAGTTATGCCAAGAACCATTTGTAATTATCCTATTGAACAATCTCAGCAATGGAAGTAGATACTATTTTTACTTTATAGGTAAAAAAGTCAAAATTTGACTTACAGAAGTTAAAAAACTTGTCTGAAATTCTAGCCTGACCTCAGACTGTCTTCACGTACTTTTTCATTATATTTCCGAGATTCATTTTCAGCTTTTTTCTGTATCACTACAATCCCCTAATTTTTTTTAAACAACAGTTGATGCTAATAATAATTCTATTCTGTATTTCCATGTTTAGCTTCAAAATGTACAGCTCTCAAGTCTTTTAATCAGCAATGATTTGACATTACAACTGGAGCTAGTGAAAGAAATTGATGAGGCCACCATTCTTCTTGAAAATTCTGCCCTTCACCAAATGATAGTCCGTTTGTTACATTGCAAAAATACAGAGAAATGTTTTATTTATTATACACAAACACAGCAGCCGCCCACCTGTTGGAGGGATTGCATTTATAGAGGGCACGGCAACTTGGTGCTGTACTGCTTCTTGAGGCCAGGAAAGCAGCCTGGAAGAACATGAGTGGTTGCAGAGGTTTCTAATAAATGCTTGATAAGTAGCATTCTGACGAATAATTTATTGATAATAAATGGAAAGGAGAGAATTAAGTCAAAGCTGATTTTTAGACACATTTGATATAAAATCTTCTAAGCACATCTCATGTACACCTTCTCCCTTGACCACCCCATTCTCAGCAAGTTCTCCCCTCCTGCCCCGCAGGAGCTGCCTCCTGAGCGTGGAGCCTGCCATCAGCACCAAGCACCTCCCTTACCAGAGCTTCCAGCTGTTCGGCTTCGACTTCATGGTGGATGAGGAGCTGAAGGTCTGGCTCATTGAGGTCAACGGCGCCCCTGCTTGTGCTCAGTAAGCCTGAACACCATTGTGTTTTAACATTTAGGAAGTTGGTTCAGTAGTTGGAAAAGTGTCTTGGTAAGGTGGTGAGCTCCCACTCCTGCAGGGTGCAAGCATAGACCCTTGACTGCTGTCAGGAAGGGTAACACAGTGATAGAGTCCCTTGGGAGGAGCTGTCTGGCAGGGCGGCTTTGTTGAATCATTTCCTTTCCATTTTCCCTCTGTGTTTTGAGCAGTTGGCCCATGCTCAGGTAGGTAGTAGATGCTGTGAGAATTTCAAACGAAACTAATAACTGCCAGAGAGACCCTCTCATGTGACAAGTTGAGTGAGCAGGATCCAGTGAGTGGGGAGACAGGGGTGACCCAGAAGTTCAGGGGCTCCCTGGGCAGAAAGGAGTCTGAGAGGCATCATGGACACAGTGGAGTTGGAGCTGGGATGCCAGGGAAGAAGGTCAGATGCACCAGAGGAAGGTGGGGAGAGCCTCCAGAAAGGGGTGCAGTGCCCATTGGAACCTTGCCCTCTGCCAAGCTCTGTGCATGTCTGGAAGATGCACAGAGGAATAGAAGCTCCCTGAGAACCTGTCCTTGGGGAGTTTCTGTCCCTCCCGGGGAGATGCCTGGCTGTAGTGGTATTAGTGTCACGGTGTAATGAAAGATGAAGGTGAGAAGGTAAGTCAGACCTTCTATGAAAGGCCTTAAGTGTAACACAAAGTCACTTGGACTCAGTCCTCTTATCCTCTTCGTTCTTCTGAAGATCCACTTTCATCATGTCAAGACCCTTTTATGGTTCCCATCTACATCTTGGAAAAATTGAGAAGTTGAGGTGACTCTTCAAAGGCTTAGGAGCAAGTCCTGCACCTGCAAGGGACCATCCTGTACACACAAGCTGCTCTTTGGTTAGGAGCTGGGCCTTTGCCTCTTGCCTGATGGCTACGACAGGTGTGATTCCAACTCATTTGTCAGCCTCTGCAGCTGGCACCCAGCCAGACTGTGTCCCAGGCCATGGGTTCACAGTGGGGAGCAAAGAGAGACATGGGCCCTACCCTTAGTGGAGAGAGACTGTGGGCTAGACAAAGGGTCAGATATCGATTACAAACTGAGACAAGTGCTTTGACAGGGAGGAAAGGATGCTGAAAAATAACATTACCAGGCAAAAGGCCCCCATTGGGAGTGATCTCGGCACTGAGACCTGAAGGTGGAAAGTGAGGTAGCTAAGAGCAGAGGCAGGCAGGGCTTTGCGTCTTCCTTCCCCAAATCAACAGTGGTGTGCCCAGTCTCTCCCCTGCTGTCCTTTCTGTCACAGGTTTGTCCCTCCATGATGCTCTAGTCTAGACCTTCCCCCTTCTGTCCTCCTGCCTTGCTCAGTTACTTTGCCACCTTTCTCCCTCTGTGCTGCTTCCATCCTGACCGCCCTGCAGAAACTGCTCTTGGAAGGGCCCCAGCCAAGTCCACATTGCCAAGTCCAGCAGCCTGTTTCTGTCCCCACTTCCCTGGACCTGTCGGCAGCACTCGAGGCAGCTGGCCACTGCGTGCTGAGATGCGCTCCTGTGGTGGCTGCAGGCACGCTCTGTGCCGGGGAGGCCTGCCTGGGGAGGTGTGGGCAAGCGGGGCTCGGTGTCCTCATCAGGTACCTCAGGTCCCAGCCCTGGGTGTCCGTCTCCTCTCCCTGCTGTGCTCTCTCTATATGTGATCTCACTCAACTTCATAGTTTTGAAACCACCAAATTACCTCACAGCCCAGAGATGCAGACCTGTGTCTGTGCCTGCCTTCCTTGCCGTGATGTCTGAATGTCTGACAGCATCCCCCTCCCACTACCAGACTTGCTGTCTCAGTGAGTCCACCACCCCTGCCCCCAGAGACCCTGCCTCCCGCTTCCCTCACCCTCAGGCCTGTGGCCTATGCCTCTTCAGTCCTCCACTCCCACTGCTGTTGCCCTTGCACAGGTCGTCTGCCATTGTGGCAGAGGCTTTTGCAAAGAGCCTCCTAACTGGGATCTCTGCTTCTGCTCTTACCGTGGTAAGATCCATCCTCCCAGAGTAGCCACAGTGATGAAATAAAACCAGACCACGCTGTTCTCCACACTTCCCATTGCACCTTGGACAGTAACCAGACCCCTCGCTCCACCTGCGAGGCCACAGCCCGCCTGCCTCTCCAGCTTCACCCCCGGCTGCCGTGGGGCCTTTGTGCCTGCTGCCACCTCTGTGTGGAGTCCCCACCACCGTCACCACTAGGCTCACCATGGCTGGCTCCTTCTCCACCAAAATGACATCTCCAAGAAACCTTCTTGAGCAATCCCATTTCTGATTTTCTCTAGCTGGAGGCTTAGTAGTTTCCTTCATTGCACTAATTGCCATGAAATTAACTCAACAAAGGACGTATGTGTGTGTGTGTGTCTGTGTGTGTGTGTTTGTGTGTGTGTCTCCCTTATCACGGACAAGCAAGATGGCTCTTACACACTCTTAAAATTGCCAGTCTTCCCTGCCAGTCAGAGCAGCAGTTGTCTGACTTGTTCACCTTGTTCATCTTCCATAAATACTTGTTGAAGGAATACTTTATCTTATGTAGTGCCTTCTGCAGTATTTGTATGTATAGTGGCAACTCGTTTATAAATGTGGTTATGAAATGGAATTTCTGGGGCAGATCTTGGTTTAAAAAGAAAACTAACAATAAAACTTAGATTTTTTTTTTTGCTTGCACTTGGATGAACCTCCTCAGTGATATTTTTAAAAACACATTTCAGGAAGCTTTATGCAGAACTGTGCCAGGGCATCGTGGACATAGCCATATCCAGTGTCTTCCCACCCCCAGACGTGGAACCGCCGCAGGCCCCACCCGCCGCCTTCATCAAACTGTGACGGAGGGATGCTCAGAGCTGCCTTGGAAAAAGCCCAGGGTCCTGCTCCAGGGGACAGTGAAGTGACTGGATCGCATATTATCAAGCCAAAGTGAGGGGGAAGAAAGGCAACTCGCAAAGACGGGATGGAAGAGAGCATGTGAGCAGAGGAGGTGACTCCCCCAAAGCGGGTTGCTTGGGTCCCAGGTAGAGCTCTCAACAATGCTGCCGAGACTTTTGAAAACTGAAGCAAATGTCTCTGAGGGGAGAGCAACATATTCTTCTAAGGGGAAAAAAACAGGGATTTTGTTGTTTTATGTTCTCATCCCTTAAAACAACCTTGGTACCCAAAGGCAGCCTGTGAGCAAAACCCCCTCCCCACTCCCTGGGGACAGCAGGCCACCAGGACCTCTGGTCGGTGCCCCCACCTGCTATAGCCCTAGTGCCTTAGCTCCGTGCCCACCGCAGCCCCGCTGTTCTGGGACATGGAGTGGACATCAGAGCATCTTGGAGGTTGCCCGTGTGTTCCCCACTCGTCCTCTCATGACATTCTGTCGCCTAAACTCTGGACAAGCATGCACCAACAGTCCTTAGTTTTGTGCTGCACGCCAGCCTCTCGGCGAAGGCGGTTTTCCTCATCACCTTCCTGATGGTGTTTGGTCAGTTGCCGGGCAGGGTTTGTGTGGGTCAGGCCCCAATACGGCAAACTGCTGCTCTAGGTCTGCTCTCTGCATGTTTTAGAAACAAAGTGGCAAAGTCTGCCCTCAACCTGTAAGCATCAAATAAGCATGAGAGAGAAAAAAACATATCTTGCTTTACTTAAATAGGTTGGGTGTGGTGGGTCTTTGAAAATATGATGATTCTCAATTATCTTTGTTTTAACCAGAATTCTAAATGCAGCTTTGCAAATTTCCCTTGACTTTTTTTTTTTAAACTTTGTAGAAAACCTTTCCAGGGGTCAGGAGAAAGTAGAATTCCACTCTCCATTCCCTACCCCCTTCAGGTGGCCCTGCCCCAGACATAGGTAGCTTGTCCCCTTTTTGTTCTCCTTGTGCTCCAAGCACCTTCTGTAGGAGTGGAGCGGCAGGTTTTGTTCCAGGAAGGGTTCTGTGCCTGCCTGTACCTGCAGGCATCAGGAAAGTGTATGTCCTGCCTAAATGGAAGAATCTTCTAAAATGGTAGAGAAGTGGTTTCAGAGTTCCATGCAGTGTCTTGTGAGTCTCAACAAATGTGTACTGTGACATGTGGCTTCCATATACTGGATGGACTAATACTTTGTAGGCTTTTCAGGAGACCACCTTACTAGCAATGGAAAGAACAAGATGTCATTTGTGTTTGATGTGAACTGAGTAAACAGGCCCTTCTTACAGTGTCCTGAAAATCACAGCGGACCCCTTGAAAACTGCACTCCATCCCAGAACATGGTGTATTCTTTCTCCGTGCATATGTGTGCTCCATTATTTGTTTCTTCTTGGCACTAGAAAACATTTCTGCAGTCAGGTGAGACTTTTACAAAAGAGAAGAAAAAACAACACCTCTTTGAACATGATGAGATGTGAGAGCTTACAGTGAGGAGAGGGGTAATGATAGAAATTATTTAATAGGTGCAGCAATGGGTGATAGGATGTGAGGGTATTACCTTGGGGTTAAGTGGAGAAGGGCCCAACTGGGTTGGCTCTCATGGGAATTTGGAATTACAAAATAAAAGTCCTGTTGGTTGCCCAGAGTACAGATTTTTAAAAGTTTGCATCTAGAGCAGAATAAAACAGTCATTGGTAATTGTGAATCCTGGAGGCCCAACACAGCTGATTGGTTAGTGTTTTGAAACTTCTGAGAAGGGAATGAGATCTGATCAGATCATGGGAAGATGTGCACCCATTTAGAAAGCATGGGGTACTGGGTCCTTGGCAAGGCTAAGTGGGCTGGCCACGGGGAAAGCGTGGAAGTCTTTGTAACGACGTCACATGCTTTCATAGATTTGTAATTATCTTTTGGACCCAAATTACAGGGACATTAAAAAGTTTTCTAGCCTTTACAGTGACAGAGCTAAGAATTCAGATGTTAGGAAGCCTGTGAGTCTTGATGGATTTTCTAAGGAACCTGAATCAATAGCATATATTATAAGAGAAGTAAGATTTTAGAAAAAACAAAAAGTTACACTTCATTCCTCATGTGACTTCAAATAAGTATCTATTTTATACACCTATTTATTTTTTAATTTATTTTTAAATTTAATTTTTATTTCTTTTTCTTTTCTTTCTTTCTTTTTTTTTTTTTTTTTAGAGAGATGAGGTCTTGCTTTGTCACCCAGGCTGAAGTGTAGTGACGATTCACAGTTGAGATCATAATTCACTGCAGCCTTGAACTCCTGGGCTCAAGTGATCCTCCAACCTCAGCCTCCCGAGTAGCTGGGACTATAGGCATGAGCCACTGCACCCAGCTTTACACATTTATTTCTGATTAGGTGGGATGGTTGGCTCAGAATTCTTCTATACCCTTCCATGGTGTCCTTGGCACAGATGGTCATGCCTGGCTCCCTGTCAGGCTTCACATTTTCAGTACATGTAAGTGCTGCCAGCTGCTGGGGAAGGAGGCATTATTTATTTGGAAATGTTAATTCCAGTCTCGGCTCTGTCATTTGACTGCACAGTAGCAGATGAGCCCATTAACCTCTCTGTGCCTTAGTTTCTTAGCTCATGGAAGAGATCATTGCCTGACCCGGGGACTACCTCAAGAGCTTTTAGTGAGGATAAATGAGAGTGTGTTCTCCTGTATTAGTTCTAGGAAGAAGATAAAAATGGAAGAAAAAAAAAAGTGAGAAGACTCAAGAGCCTTTAATACCAAGGTTCTCAATACTGACTACATGCTGGAATCACTTCTGAAGCTTTTAAAAAATGGTGCCCACACTTCTCCCCTCTCCCTACCACTGGCCAGTTAAATCAGAACCTCAGACAGCAATATGTCTTAAGATGCCTTGAACCACAGCCTGAGAAAGAAGGAAAAACACATTATTACTTTAGAAGAATTGCATATGGCTTATGGGTTTTAAAAAATCCTTTTTGGAAACACAGTCATTTCTTTAAGAATCACCAGATGTTGACATATATATTCCTGGAACAAGCAAGTGTGATCTAAGCAGGTTCCCTATTTGCTTCTCATCCCAGCATTTGGCAACTCAAACATGCTTTCATTTACATAAACAGTGTATGAAGCTTTGACAGCAAATGTAAACAGACATGAAATTATAAATCTGCTAAATATGTATTAAGTTTATTAATCAATTATTGAGAGAAAAGCCCCTTCCCTCACACATAATTCCTATGGTAATTATCAACCCGTTTTACCAAGAACATTTAAGTGCCTCAGTGTTGTATGATTTAGTGGAGCAGGTGCTGGCGTACTTACCAGCTGACACCATGTTTCACTAGCTCTTCAAGACGGTTACTACTATATACATACATGGAACATCTGGGAGTGCTGGAAATGTACTGGGATGGACAGAACCAGCAGGTGACAGTGAAGCTACAAAGCATGTTTCATTAACAGTTGAGGTTGTGTCAAGCTGGGGCAATCCAGACCTGTTGGGGGTGTGGTGAGGGGCTCTACTAGCAAAAACAGGGCGCTAGAGTGGGTTCCGTGTAGCATGTGGGTGCTATAGAGAAAATTCAGTGATATACATGTCTCTGATCCTGGATACAGAATCTGTACTGAAGAGGAAATGACTTCTGAAATAAGGCAATTTATGAATGTTTATGCCTGGAGCATTAAAGTAAAGTAATGATATTTCAAGTGTTTTTGTCCCCTTTGGTTCTATCATCTTGTTGTGGGTGTTGCCTGTCCTGGGATATCACTGGTTGTTTACATCCATGATCTCATTGCCCATGGGGTAGGGAGATAGTAAATCTGCTAGGCTTTGCAAGCCATATAGGGTCTCTGTTGCATATTCTTTGTTTTTGCCCCTAACTCTTTAAAAATGCAAAAACTCTTCTAAGCTCATAGGCCTACAATGGTAGGCCAGCTGTGGCCATAGTTTGCTAACCCCGGACATTATCCAATACATAAACCAACAGATTGTCCTTCAAAACTGATGAGCTGCTCTCAGGTGAAGCATTGAGACGATTTCAGCTGCCAAAATCCAGCCCATTGTTTCTCACGTCTTGTGTATTGTCTGCGTTATGATGGAAATTGTGAAGTATGACCCACGGTGTGAAAGAGACTTAAGTGTCTTCACATGTGGGGCAGAGGTGGAGGGGCTTCTGAAATGAGGCTACTTCCATAATTAGCCAGATGGCCAGGAAGTTCTTACTACGTATTTCACTAAGGCCAGGTCTATAAATACCTAGAAACCTCACAAAGCTTAGGCACTTACGGATAGAAAGGGCTTGATTTATGCAAAGCTGTCATCAGCTTGTAACTTCTTGTGCAGTAAGGCTAAAGGCTTTGGGCTTCTTTCCCATGTATGGCTGGCCTGCCTTCCATGGCTTCTTCCACTCCGTAAATACATTTCTGACACAAAAGAAGGTCCTTCCGTGACAGAAACCCTGGTGTGGGCATCCCACGCTAAACAAGTTTCAGATGCGACATGACACACTCCTACTAGACTCAGAAGAGATTGCATGGGCACAGTGCAGGGAATAAGCAGACATGGACCCAGGCAGGCAGCTACTTAGGAGCCTGGGTATGCAGCTACAAAGCTTTTGGAGGACTTCTTTTAAAGGCTGGTCCCTTTTGCTGTCAGCAGTTGTCCCTTCTCCTTAAAGAATCTAAAGCTCGCCCATGGCCCCAGAGGTTTTCCCCAAAGTATCTCTGTCTTAGTCCATTTTGTGCTGCCATAACAGAATACCACAGACTGAATAATTTATAAAGAAAATAAAACTTCTTTGGTTCACAGTTCTCAAGGATGGTTAAATCCTAGATTGAGGGGCTACATCTGGTGAGGGCCTCCTTGCTGCATCATCCCATGGCAGGAAGACACATGGTAAGAGAGAAAAGGGGCTGAACTCATCCTTTTATCAGGAACCTACTTCTGAGATAACCAACGCACTCCTGTGACAATAACATCATTAATCCATTCATGAGGGCAGAGCGCTCATGATTTAATCACCTCTTAAAAGTCCCACCTCTCCATTCAGTTGCATTGCGGACTAAGTTTCCAACACATTTACTTTGGGGGACACATGCAAACCATAGCAATCCCTAAAGACAAAGGAAAATGAGCCCCTGTCCCATGCAACACTTGATGGCACAACTTGAAGATTTCTGCAAGAAAAATTCCTTTTAAAAATTCACATGAGAGGACATCAGTGGGAATAGCAGAGTAAGAA